ATTTTGCTAGATGCGCTCCTTCCTTGGTGCCCCCTCTACTTGCCACACCTTCCGCGCACCCACCTGGGCGATGCGCGGTCCGCCGCCTTGCGTTTCGTGCTCCTCGGCGGCTTCGTGATACTCGACTTGCTGTACTCGTTCTGGTACCCGTGCTGGGCCCCGCCGCCGCTGAACCCCGGCGCAGCAGCCGCCTCCGTCCCCGCCGGCGGGGCTGGCCGCGCCAGCCGCTCTGGGAGTGACCCGTCCACCCTAAGCGGCCCTCGCCTTCTCCCCCTCCCCGCGGCCGCCCGCTTTTCCGTCCTCCACTCCTCTTGCATGATGGCCCAATTCGCTACAATGCTGCCCCCGTTTAGTTAGCTTCTTCTGCCAGCGCAGGCGACCCGTGCCTAGCCGCCGACGCAAAAAGTGTGTTGGTTGTTGTTTGTTGTTCGTTGCTTGTTGTTTGTTGCGTGTTGCTTGTTGTTTGGTGGGTGTCATTTGATGTATGTTGTTTGTTATTTGTCTTTTGTTTTTTGTTTTTCGTCGTCGTCGTCCCACCGGGGATCTGGCCCGCGACCCACCCACGACCCACTGAGCGACCCGCGACCCGGCCCGCGACCCACCCGCGACCCACCCGCGACCCACCCGCGACGTAGCCCTTGACCCACCCGCGACCCACCCGCGACCCACCCGCGATCCGGCCCGCAACCCATCAGCGACCCACCCGCGACCCACCCGCGACCCACTCGCCATCCAGCCGGCAGCCCAGCCCGCGGCCCACCCCCGCGAGCCACCCGCGAGCCACCCGCGAGCCACCCGCGACCCACCCGCGACCCACCCACAGTGCTTTAACCCATAAAACGGCGCCTAAATGTTGCAAACTATGTTGTATAGTTTGCAAAAATTAAGCTCCTGCAGCGGACTTCTTCAGAGCCTCGCAGACAGACTGCCAACGTCCCGCCGCCCCCTTACTTTTATCCGCAAGTGCGGGGTGATACATATATATATATATATATATATATATATATATATACATATATACATATATACATATATATATATATATATATATATAGATTCCCAACCATCCTGTGGTGTTGGGTCCTCGTTTTGAAGAAACAGCGCCCCGCGTTCCTCTCCTCCTCCTCCTCCTCCTCCTCCTCCTCCTCCTCCTCTTCCTCCTCCTTCTCCTCCTCCTCTGGTGTTCGCATGCGTCTCCCCCACCCAAAACAACGTTTCGTGGCCCCATATAGAGCTTCATCGAAGGTCCCACTGGGGGCGTTCGCATGCGTCTCCCCCACCCAGGACAGCGCTTCGTGGCCCCATAGGGAGTTCCACCGAAGGCCCCACTGGGGGTGTTCGCATGCATCTCCCCCGCCCAGGGCAGCGCTTCGTGGCCCCTTAGGGAGTTCCACCGAAGGCCCCAGTGGGGGTGTACGCATGCGTCTCCCCCGCGCAGGACAGCGCTTCGTGGTCCCATTGTGAGCTTCACCGAAGGCCCCAGTAGGGTTGTTCGCATGCGTCTGCATCACCCAGGACAATATTTCGCGGTCCCAGGGAGCTCCACCGAAGGCTTCAATCGGCGTGTTAGCATGCATCTCCCCCACACAGGACCGCGCTTCGTGGCCCCACAGGGAGCTCCACCGAAAGCCCCAGCGGGGGTGTTCGCATGCGTCTCCCCCACCCAGGACAGCGCTTCGTGGCCCCATAGGGAGCCCCACCGAAGGCCCCACTGAGGGTGTGGAACTCCGCCGAAGGCCTCACTCGGATTGTTCGCATGCGTCTCCCCTACGCAGGACAGTGCGTCGTGGCCCCATGGGGAGCTCCACCGAAGGCCTCAATCGGGGTGTTCGCATGCGTCTCCCCCACCCAGGACAACGTTTCGTGGCCCCATAGGGTGTTCCACCGAAGGCCCCACTCGGGGCGTTCGCATGCGTCTCCCCCACCCAGGACAGCGTTTCGTGGCCGATCAGGGAACCCCACCAAAGGCCAGAATCGGTATGTTCGCAGGCGTCTCCCCCACCCAGGACAGCGCTTCGTGGCCCCATAGGGAGCTCCACCGAAGGCCCCAGTGGGGGGGGTCGCATGCGTCTCCCCCACCAGGACAGCGCTTCGTGGTCCCATTGCGAGCTTCACCGAAGGCCCCACTAGGGGTGTTCGCATGCGTCTCCCCCACCCAGGACAATATTTCGCGGCCCCTGGGAACTTCACCGAAAGCTTCAATCGGGGTGCTAGCATGCGTCTCCCCCACCCAGGACAACATTTCGTGGCCCCATAGGGAGCTCCACCGAAAGCCCCAGTTGGGGGCGTTCGCATGCGCCTCCCCCACCCAGGACCGCGTTTCGTGGCTCCATAAGGAGCTCCACCAAAGGCCCCACTGAGGGTGTTCGCATGCGTCTCCCCCACCCAGGACAGCGTTTCGTGGCCCCACACGGAGCTCCACCGAAGGCCTCAATAGGGGTGTTCGCATGCGTCTCCCCCACGCAGGACAGCGCTTCGTGGCCCCATATAGGGCTCCACCAAAGGCCCCACTGAGGGTGTTCGCATGCGTCTCCCCCACCCAGGACAGCGTTTCGTGGCCCCATAGGGAGCTCCACCGAAGGTCGCAATGGGGGCGTTCGCATGCGTCTCCCCCACCCAGGACAGCGCTTCGTGGCCCCACAGGGAGCCCCACCGAATGCGTTGCAAACAAAGACAGTACTCACAACTGCATATGGTTGGGTCCTTCGCCAGGCTAATTCAATCAGGGCGTTCGTCCTCGATGTCAGCCTCCAGGGCCCGTCATCGGGTCCCGGGGCCATCAAAAATAAGTCTGGAACGAACAACATCTCCTGGGAAAGGGGTCGGTCCCTCTGGGGAGCGGCGGATGATTGAACAAAAATCATGCGGCCTGAGCATCGGAGAAGTATCGAGGGGAATACCCGCAGACACTGGGCGCTGCAACTTTTGTCCACACAACGGTCGTTTTCATCGGGCTTCGGGCCCCAGGGCCCTTGCGGATCGATCAGGGTCGAAAGACGCCGCAGAAAGTTGGGGTCCAGGGTTCCCGTCATGATTATTCGCGATGTTTTGTTTTTGTTCGCAACGTCGGACCTCAGGGGAGGGGGATCTCGAGATTTGCTGCTCGCCCAGAGCCCTCGACCCAGGAGGCCGAGGATCTTGGGGAGGCCGAGGGTGGTGAGGAGTCTTCGGGCGGCTGTCGCCCCTCGCGGGGCCCCGCCCTCGTCACCACGGCCCCGGACCCGCCTCGGAGATTCCAGGGCTGGAGCGCGCCCTGGAGCAGGTCTTGGGGGGGTGGGGGGGGGGCGTTCGGGGGGGGGGGGGGGCCGCCGTCGGCCCCCCGCCTTTGTCATCAGGGACGAAGGGGGCCAGGAGGCGACCCTTCCTACCCTGGTCGGGTCAGGAGGCAGCCAGGACGCACGGGCTCGGCAGCGTCTTGACTGCCTGCTTGCCCGAACACTGCCTGTCCGATCCTTCCTGGCCTCCAATCCCTTCCACAGTGGCGGGGCCGTCACGGACCTCGGCTCTGGCCTCCAAGAGGGACTCCACTTCCTCGGAGCACTGCTCCCTGGAGGCCAGCATCAGCCGGCTCCAGCCCTCTGCCTCCGCCTCCTTCCAGCTCCGCTCAATCTCCCGCAGCTGCTGCCTGGTGGCCTTCAGGGCGTCGTGTATGTCTCGGTCCGTGGGGTCGATGAGGCTGGCGTTCATCAGGTCGCCGACGGCTCCCATGACCCACTTCTTGCTCACAAGGTTCACGGATGCGACTGCGCGCCTGAAGAGGGCCTTGCAGTTGTCCGGGTCCAGCTCAAGGGCGTGGGTGGCGTGCGCCACCGTTCCAGCCCAGTCGTGCTGCTTGAGGCAGACCTGGGCGAGGTTGAGGTTCAGGGCTACGCACACCTTCTCGGCCTTCCTTTGCATCTCCTCGGGGACCACCTGCTCCCACTTCCATCCATCACCATCGATTTTGATCCACGCCTCCACCAGCTCCCCGCTGCCATCGGGGCGCTGCAGTTGCATCCACTCTCCGTCTTCGCTCTGATTCCCAACGCGTACGAGCGCCCCTTGCTCCAGCTGGCTGACCACCGTGCTGTCTGCGCTCGGCCCCGAGAACGCCGGGCTCGCGCGGTCGCCAGTCAGCCGCAGCTGGTAGATGTGGAACTGCAGCACCAGATTTGCCATCCGCAGGCCCTCGGCGTACTTGCCCGCAGCGGCATCGACATCGCCACCCTTCATGGAGGCGTTCCCCATCTCCTTCTGTATCTCCGCCATGTGGACGCAGTCCTTCGCTGGGAGGACATAGCCCTCCTTGAGCGTGCGCGGCGAGGCCCCTCTGCACGCTGGACGCCCAGGTGGAGTGAAAGGCGCCATGCCCTGTCTGCGATGCCCTCGCCCACCGTGTGCATAAACTGCCAAAGCGCTGCCATATTCTGCCAGAATGGCCAACGGAAAAAAAGACGACGACGGCAGTGGCAGCGACGCGGACGGCGAGGATGAGGAAGAGGAGGCGAATGTTTCTTTGCACGTTCCTGGAGCTGTTCGCTTAGATCGGATTTTGCGGCCGTGACGATTCACTTCACGCACACGTAAAATACCGTCCAGTCAGGTTGCGCTGCAGGAAGTCACAATACTACAACATTATGCGATATATCTGCCCATAGCTGTTCATTCCTCCCACCACCACGCACACCCCTGAAATCGGGGCAACCCAAGGTGTTCAAAAAGGTCAGTTTCGATTGCCAGGTCATGCTCCCAAGTTGCACCTTGCTGTGACATACCCAGCCATGCGTTGCGTCGATCAGGTATGCCTTCTTCTGCCCTGATCCGCCACCGCACCGTAGGCACTGAGTGAAGTGACCAGAGGTTCCCAAGAGTCCTGGGTTTTGAATGTTTCACATGCCCTGTAAAGGGGCCTGTACCCCTTGTTCCAGGTGTTCCTGGACGCTCTCGCGCGCTCCCAGGATTCCCCGCGCGACGTTTCCAAAGGTCCCGAGGGCGTGGCCGCGGGCTCCAACCTCCAAGATGCTCTGAGACGGCCCCAAGGGACCGTCCTGGGGCGGTCTTGGCAGCCTCGTGGGCCGTCCTGGAGGCCCTGGGAGCCAGCCCAAGAGGCCCAAATCACTGAAAAGCCATGGTGTGTTGTAGAATGTGTGTCGACTTGGCTTTTCTGGATCAAGAGCGCCTAAGGCGGTCCGAGAGGCCACTAAGATCGCCCCGGGGCGGCCCTGCAGGGCCCTTGAGAGAGGCCCAAGAGGCTCACCAGACCGCCCCCGAGACTGCCCCAAGAGGGCCCCCGGAGGGGAACACAAGCTGAGATGTGGAGCCATCCATCCCAAGACGACCCCCGCTGGCGCGGCCGCAGCTCCGCTGGACATTTCACCACACGGGCGTTCCGAGAAGACAAGGGGGCGGCGTTCATTAACGCCATGAGCGTCTTCGATATTGTACGTTGCGATTACTTTCTTTCCTGAGATGCCCTACAAAGCTGGTCATTGCTTCATCTGCTGTTTGTTGCTCTGGTTTACCGCGCTGGCAAAAATATAAACAAGCAGACAAGCAAGCATACAAGATAGCCTATAAGCAAACGCTGCAGAGCATACGCAAATCAGCAATATTCGGAGAAAACACGCGAATGCGCAGGCCAGCGACCCGCAGCGCATCAGGCCGGAAAGCCTGATGCGCAGCACGTTTGGGAAACCACATACACCCCCCACAGGATCGGTAACCCCGCAAAGGAGCACAAGAAACAGAACGTGCTCATCGGGAGCACCTCAGCGCACGGCGAGTGCAACCCACGAGCGAATGAGAGCGTGATCAGATCAACAGGATAGTCAAAATAAAAGCCAAACTCTTGAATTATGAAAGCGTTGAGGCACTGTCCCAGACCCCTTGCAAGAATGTGATCTCGGACCAGCACCAAAAGAACTCACACGACACACCGTAATCACACGGCTAGCGGAACACACCGTTTATCATGCTGGGCGGCTAGCAGAATACACCGTGCAGTTGGCGAGAGGAAGTCGGATAGGTCAGCGTCGCGCCCTACGATCGACCCCGAAGTTGTCTGTCCACAGTGCAGGCCACAACATGGCACCCGGATCAAGGGCAACAGACTAACTAGACTTGCAGCTCCTGGCAGGGCGCGGCTGCGGGCCTCTCTGGGCCCATCCGCGGAATTGGATGGAAGCCGGCATGCACAACACTGCGCCAGCGGAAAAAGCGGAGGGGAGCACGGTTCGACCCGGGACAGGAACAGTCGCCGGCTGAGGGTCTGCACCTCGCACGGGGCCACGCAGCGTGCCGTCGTGGCCCACTTCTGGCAGACATCGAGGAAGAGTTCCTCCCCGATCACCTCTGGGGGGCAAGTGGAAATCTAGCGAGAATGGAGCTGACAGCGGGGGACAGGGAGGCAGACAGGAAGAGAGAGAGAGTCTAGAGAGAATGACGGGGGTGCGGTGCGGAACGGGAACAGTAACAGCAGGAGAAGGCAGGAGGAGAGCGAGAACAGGATGAAGGAAGCAATATAGAAAAGGCTTTGAAAAAATGAGGAGAACGGTAGCAGAAATAAAACGAGCAAATCCATACAGTAAGAGAGGCACCTAAATGAAAAACATGACGACGAGAAGGGACAGGAAGAGGACGATGAATGAAGCTATTGGCAGAAAAAGCGAAGATTCAGCCAGGATCGAAACAATGCACACCCAGGTGCAGAATCGAAACAACGCACACCCAGGTGCATTGACAAAACAATGAAGCGGGCGTGTGGGCCCCGGACAATGGAAACAAGGGAAGAACATGCGAAGCAATTGGAAACAATTGGAAGTGTGAGCGTGGAAGCAAAGGGTGATTCGGGCATAACGGCTTCCAGAATATAAACGAACGGCAAGCAACGGCTGGACACCGTCAAAGACGAGGCGGGGCAGGTCAATCGGCGCGACGCTGTGATGCCGCAGAGCCAAGGACCATCGGGGACACGGCCGGCCAATGGAATTGTCGGCGTCGCAGGGCTGGGATCAGCCAGGGGCAGTCGGGGATCAGCCAGCCCTGCCGAGGAGATCGGCGGCGACGCCTGGGGAGCAACGGGGCCCAGGACGGTCGGGAACACGGCCGGCGAAGGGGACTGGTGGCGAGGAAGGGGGCACCAGGGCCAGGGGCAGTCGGGGACACGGCCAGCCCAAGCAAAGGCAGCTGGGGGCATGGCCAGCCATTGGAGCGTGGGCGGCTACGCAGGAGGAGAACCCTCGCCTCACGATGTTCCCGATCGCCCTCCTGCGCCCACAGGGTCCCGTACAGAGCCGATCCACAGATGCCCAGCAATACGTTACTGCTCCTGGCTGGATTGGCGGGCCGCAGCTGCCTGGACTCAGCACGAGGCGTGGACATCTGAGGGGGCTCGGTGCCAGTGGCGCCGCGGCCCCGCGACGAGTGTAAAGCCAACGGGGTGTGCCGAAACAGGGGCGCGCAAACCCGTCGCGCGCGGTGCGCAGAGTTAACGCCTGCCCTGCCAACGAAGGCGCCCCAGCCCCTCCCCCCCCCACGAGCCTGCCCCTGGTTGACATGACGGACCACAACGCCCTGGACCTCCAGCGCGAGGCGCCCGCATCGTAGGAAGCCGCTCGGCCCCTGCCTGGGACTCCATCAAAATTCGCTGGGGCCTAGACAAGGTCGCAGCCAAGACCTCGAGGCGCCTTGGGGGCAGAGCAAGAAGTGGCCCTTGACTGAGACTTCGGCAGGGTATACGTCCACAGCTATGATGTGCCATCACGTGCATGTGGCAAGTTTTGGGGAAGGCCGCCTCCGCAGAACTCCAACGACTGAAAGGATATCCTGCATGCATGCGCTCTCGTTGGGTTGATAAACAACTAGCGTTTCCTTATGATCCCAAGATTGCGGTTGGGGGCATCGACTAAACCATTACGCGATACATTGCAACCAGAAAACACGAGCGTACGTCGAAAAGTGCATGGACAACTCAGTGTGTGTTGGTAGATGCGTGCCAATGCTTCTACAGATGTGTGCGTGTGTGTTCATCAGTGTGTTCTCTGAAATGTTTGTATACACGTTTATCTTCAACCTCAAGCACTGCTTCGAATACCACATCGTTGGCCACCTCGGCGGACACTAGGGGCACGACCACGACAGGCACTAGCATCTCGACGTTAAGCAGCACGTCGGCGAGCACCAATTCGACCCCGAGGTCCACGTGTGGGAATGATATTGTTTCGACTGCCTAGTCGCCGACCGCTCGTGGCGTCCAAAACCCGGTTAGCGAGCAGCCCGAGGCGCGTGAGACGCCTGTGGAAAACGTTTGCAAGGACGCTGGAACAAATGTCTGGGGAGTTTGCAAGCTCGAGAAAGGAGCTCCACAGGAGATCCCAAGGAGCTTCGAAAGAGCTGTGGAAGAGGCTTCCGGCAGGCGTATTGGGAACGGGTAAGAAAACGTTTTTGGGGACACGATGCCGGTTCAAGAAGCGAACTGCTGCGGGGATGCCTGCCCGACGCCGGAAAGAGCTGCAGAGCCATCAAGCGTTGCCGGCTTCTAATATGAAGCCCTCTTAGCTCTCAGAAAGCTATCTGGGAACTACGTCGCGCACCGGCAACGCATCGTCGAGCTGAACGTCGGAGAGCAGTGTCTGGACCGTGATGTCAACGATGGGGACGAGTACTACCCTCAATACCACGTCTCTGACCAGCACGACGGATACAGGCATAGCGACGGCCAGCAGCACGCCGGAGAGCAGCAGCTCGACCCTGGAGCGGGGCGTGTGCTGCCTCGAGTACCAATACGTCGAGCTACGCAACGGATACTAGCATCTCGGCCTTGAGCAGCAGCACGTCGGAGAGCACCAGCTCTACCTCGACGTATACACGCGGCACGCGTACCGTCTCGAGTACGATATCGCTGCCGCACATCGTCGAACAGCGCGGCAGCACGGACGGAAACATCAGCTCCACACTGACGTCCATGCGTGGGATCACCACTGCATCGAAAACCACATAGCGGACAACCACGACGGGCACCAGCAGAGCATCGTGGAGCAGCACGTCCACGAGCAGCAGCTCGACCCCGACAACCACGAGTGGAACGAGAACTGCCCCGAGTACTACGTCGCGGAGCTAGCCGATGGGCACTAGCATCTCGACGTTGAGCAACACTCGAAGAGCACCAGCTCGACCCTGACGCACATGCTTGGGACGAGCACCGTCTCGAGCGCCTTCTTGCCAGCAGCGCATCGGCAAGCTGCAAATGTGAGAGCAGCGTCTCGACCCTGACGTACGCGAGGCGGACAAATCCTGCCCTCAGTACCACGTCGTTGACCACTGCATTTAGCACTACGTGGCTGACCACCACGACGGGCACCAGCAGCGCACCGCTGAGCAGCACGTCGGCGAACACCAGCTCGACCCAGACGTGCGCCAGCGGGGCGAGCACTGCCTCGAATATCACGTCGCTGTACAGCGCGACAGGTACGAACCTCGAAGTTGAGCAACACGTCGGAGAGCAGCCGTTCGACCCCGACGCCAACGAGTGGGACGATCACAACGTCAAGCACTACATCGCTGGCCACCATGACGGTAGACGTGCACTGGCGTCTCGACGCTAAGCACCACGCTAGAGAACAGCTCCAGCAACTCGACTCAGACGCCCACGAGCAGGACAAGTACTACCTCGAACACCACGCCGCTAGGCGGCACATCCGTGACCAGTAGCGCACCGCTAGTTAGCGCTTCGGGGAGTAGCAGCTCGACCCTGACGCGCGCCAGTGGGATGAGCACTGCCTCGAGTATCACGCCCCTGAGCAACATGGCGGACACGAGCATCCCGTCGTTGAGCACCACGTCGGAGAGTAGCAGCTCGACCCCGACGCCCACGCGCGGGGCGAGTACTGCATCAAGTACCGCATCGCTGGAAATCATGACCGGCACCAGCAGCGAAGCGCTTAGCAGCACGTCGGCGAGCAGCAGTTCGACCCCGACGCACACGCGTGGGACGAGTACTGTCTCAAGTGCTGGGTCGCTAAGCACCGCGACCGGCACCAGCAGCGCAACGATGAGCGGCGCGTCGGAGAGCATCAACCCCACCCTGACGTCAACGAGCGGGCAGAATCTTGCCTCGAGTACCTCGATGCAGAGGAGCACAACGGGCAGTGACATCTGGACAGCGAGAAGCATGGCGGAGAGCAGCAGCTCGACACTAACGTGCACGAGGGGGACGAAGACGGCCGCGACTACCACGGCGCTGCCCTCCCCGACGGGTAACGGCAGAGCACCGTGGAGCAGCACGTCCAAGAGCTGCAGCTAAACCCTGACGATCACGAGTGGGACGAGTATTGCCCCAAATACTTCATGGCGGAACCACGCTACGGGCACTAGCCTCTCAACGTTAGGCAGCACGCCAGTGAGCACCAGCTCGAACCTGACGCCTATGTGTGGGACGAGTCCTGTCTCGAGCGCCCTGTCGCTGACCACCACGACGGGCACTAGCAGCGCATCGTTGAGCAGCAAGTCTGAGAGCAGCGTCTCGACCCTGAAACCACACGAGAGGGACGAGCACTGCCCTCAGTACCGCATCGTTGACCACTGCCTTGAGTACTACGTCGCACCACGACAGGTAACAGCAGCGTACCGTTGAGCAGCACGCTGGCGAGCACCAGCTCAAACCTAACGTACGCCCAGCGGGACGAGCATTGCGTCGAGCACCACGTCGCTGAGCGGTACGACGGGCACTAGGATCTCGACGTTGAGCAGCACGTCGCTGGCCACCACGGCGGGCACCAGCAGCGCAACGCTGAGCAGCACCACTGGGAGCACCACCGCCCCGACGTGCACCAGCAGACGCTGCGCACTGCCTCGAGTACCGCGTCGCTGAGCGGTACGACGTGTGCTAGTATCTCGACGTTGAGCAAAACGCTCCTGACCACCATGGCGGGCGCCAGCAGCGCATCCCTGAGCAGCACGACTGGGGGCAACAGCGCCCTGACGTACACCAGCATCGCTTCACGCGCACTGGACGTTCGACGTTGAGCATCGCGTCTGGGAGCAGCAGTTCGACCCCCGAACCCACGAGTGGGACGAATGCTGTCTCAAGTGCCACGTCGCTGACCACCATGACGGGCACCAGCTGCGCATCGCTGAGAAACACGACTGGGAGAAGCAGATCCACCCTGACGGCCACGAACGGAAAGAGTACCGCCTCGCGTACAGATCGATTGTTACCAGGTCCATGGCCCTTTGTGCCCAAGATCCGCATTGGCCCACTAAGCGTGGGATGCGTGCATCGGCCTCTTCCCACGAGCCGCATTGGCACACTGGAGGTGGTCCCGCGAGCCGTATTGGCCGATTGGGGATGGGATGCGAGCTTCGCCCTATTTCCACGAGCCGCATTGGCCCACTGGGGGTGGGATGCGAGCTTCGACCAGCACGCCGGCGAGCGCCAGCTCGACCCCGACGTGCAAAGAACACAGACCGCCTAGATCGCCTTTCATCAGGCCCGATCGCCCGCTCGCGCCCGGGCGTCTCCCCAGGCGAGCGACCAGGCGCGTCTAGATGCTCAGCAATAGCACACCTGTGGTTCCTTACCAATAGCACACCTGTGGTTCCCTGTGAACTATTGGCAACTTTTCCGCAGCTCTATTGCGTAGGGCCGCTGCGGGGGATGCCCCAAGGCAGTACCGTTCACTTCCTTCATGCCAGCGCACGTGCAGAGGCGGCGCTACTGCCACGGGTGCGCAGACGGGCCCTTAAGCGGCCTGATCACCGCATACCCGCTTTGCTTTCCAGCCGTGGGCCCCCCTATGGGCCGCGCCAGGGGGGAGGTCAGCCCAGCACCCCTGTTTCGCACGGGGCGCCTCCCGCTTTGCGAGGAAGGCCCGCACGGCGCTCGCAGCCACGGAGCCTGACGAACTTCTGCTCGTCGAGATGTTGCAAAATCTCTCGGTACCTCTCCTTCTCTACCCCTCTCTCTCTCTCTCTCTCTTTCTCTTTGTGTTTTTCTCTCTCTCTCTCTCTCTCTATATATATATCGTGTTGTTTATATATCTCCCTCTGCCTTGCATATATAGAAGTGTGTATGTATGCATATATAAACATGTGTGTCTCTTCATTGATCGATATATATATATATATATATATATATAGATATACCCCCGCCCCCCTACACACATACACACACTGAACACGTGATCCTGGGCAGGCGATTCCATCGCAAAGCTCGGCACGTGCAAGAACAAGACATTCGAACCTGATGAGACTTGAATTGGAGGTACCTTCCTGCTGGAGCTTACTCGGCGAGAGACAAGCTGAAAACTGAAAACATTCGCATCGGCAGCATTAAGGATGTCAAGACATGCGTGTTCGTCGGACTCGTCTGCGGCACATGCACGGCCAGACGGCCCCCAAGATAGTGATATGATCGTCACCACAATTGCCGCCTCATCTGGGTCTTCATCGCGTGGTCTCTGGATTACAATACTGGTCAAGTGAATCATGGATGTGTTCGGCTTTGTGGTTCATTACTCTGTGGATCAGCAAACGTGCAGAACCCCTCAAGCAGGGTGTGTGAGAAGGGACGGCGTTCGCAAACGATGTGCCCATGGTTTCCACCCTCTGGTCCTTCTCCCGCCATCCTGGTCTCCCTCCTGGTCAAGCTCCTCATCCCCCTCGCCTCATCCAACTCCATGTCCTGGTTATCATTGATGGCCCTCCTCGTCCTTATTGTCCCCCTCTCACCGTTTTCATCCTCTGTATCCGTCCTTTTTTTCCTATCCAGAAGACATCCTCCTCATCCTCTGCATCCGCACATTCCCTCATCATACTCGTGTAAGGGAACGCAAACTCGAATCATCCTGACCCCTGGCGCGTGAGGAAATGAGGCCCGCAGCCGTGCCTCCTTGGACACAGTTTCCATCTCGTCCACCGAATCTGGTGACGGATTCTAGACTGGCGCTGTCGCCCAGAAAATCCTCGCAACATCAGCCACGTCCCGGCAACGCTTCCGGGGAACCCGACGAATCCGACGATGAGTTCCCAACTGGCGTTTTCTTGTGGAGGTCCTCGCAAAATCGGCACGGGACGTTGCTGGAAGCGGCGAAGCCCCGTCGGATACAATGCCATCGGGGTGCCGCTGACCTTCACGAAAGACATACTCTCCAGGCCTGAGCTGCAGCCCGCATCAAGCTCGTGCGATCAGACCTGCGACTGACAGTGGATCCCAACGCGATAGGCTCACCATCGCCCGCACTTCTGAGCCCACGGCATCAGGATGTGCCGGGTCAGGCTATGCGCGGCGATCTGCATAAAGGACTCGCTGAACTGGACGGCTGCCAGAACGAGGGGGGTGGGGGGCGTCGCATCTGTCTCACGGCCACCCCACGCACGTCCCCCTCGTCTGACCGTGCTTGCCACCCGTCTCATCTTCATCGTCACCTTTGCCGTCGAGAGTCGCCGACGTCTTCCTTTTCTTTCTCCTCGTGTCCATTCTCCCCCTCCTTCTCCTGTTCCACCTACAAGTCGTCTTGTCGTCGTCAACCCTCGCACTCCTCACCCTCCTCAGCCTACCCTTTCTTGCTTCAAGCATCGCTGTTCTTAGAGATCCGACGGGGGCGTTGCGAATGCACGCGGAAAACAATAGCGTGAGAAACATGACACTGTAGCGCGAGGCACAGCCGAAGTGGAACACTCCAGCAGCCTGGACCCGTAGAAACAGAAACCAAGGCCGCGCTGACGGCGTGCTTGGTTAACGGTGCGGTTGGGAATCTTGTCTTTGCGACACCGAGCTCACGCAAAACAAAATGTAGGAGATCACGAAAACCGTTTCCTAAATTTCAGATATGCGAATGTATCGAGCGAAAACGACGCAGCGAGTTGTAGGAAAACACGAACCACGCGTTCCTACAATTGGTTTGGCCACGAACCACGCCTACCTACAATTGGTTGTCCTACTTCGCCGTTGGCTAACACACCGTTAGCGCGTCTACGAAGAAACCATATCTGCAGCAATGGCAGTCGCCAATTCGGGGAGGAGTGCTGCGGCTCTCCCACCGCAGGCCATACGCGTGCCGGGGCATGTTGTGCATGCTTTGCCACCAGTGCCGAAACAACTGCGGCTACTGCAAACTCCAAGTCGCGCAAGTGCGACGCGGTCTCCACCACTGTAGCCGACCAGAGCCCACAGGAGCTTGCGACAGAGCAGCCACCCTAGAACCAGACTGGGAGCTGCAAATGCGGTGAGCCAGACGCAGCGGCGGTTGTTGCTGCGGCTATGAAACCGCAGTCACCAGGCTCCAAGAGACACTCGAATCAGCCGGCGTGAGCGAGGGGGGGGAAGTGAGAAGGAGAAGGCCTTCTCAGAGGGCGGCCGGGCTTCTCAGAAGCCCTCGCGTCTTCTGATAGGTTCTCTAAGTCTTCGGGGAAGGCTCTGAAAACTTATCCGAAGGCTGGAGGATTCCCGAGCCTTCTGAGAAGGCCCGCCCTTTCTCTCGTCCCCCCTGGGCGCGCTGCCGAATCAGGGCAGTTGCCATCTCACCCTGGGGAAACGCGATGCACATGGCAACAGAAACAACCGAGGGCGCGCACCATGCATCAAAAACGTACTCTGGGTTTCTCAATAAGTGTGGGGGGGAACCCCCCGACGGGGGTCAGCCTCTCCTAGTCGTCGCGCCGCGACGGAGGTCGGAGCGCCTCCGGCGCGCGGTGGCTGCCCGCGACGGGGGTCGATGTGGGGCTGTCGGTGGGGGTGGCGCCCCCCCGACGCATATTTATAAACTCGGAGTACGGGCGGGACCCCGAGGTGGTACCCAGCCCCCGCCACCGAACCCCCCCCCTCCCTCCACCTCTCCTCCACCTCTGCTTCCTTTCCACTCCGCTCCTCCTCCTCCTCCTCCTCCTTCTCCTCCTCCTCCTCCTCCTCCTCCTATTCCTATTCCTATTCCTATTCCTATTCCTATTCCTATTCCTATTCCTATTCCTATTCCTATTCCTATTCCTATTTCCTATTCCTATTCCTATTCCTATTCCTATTCCTAT